GGGGGGGGGGGGGGCTGCTGCTGCACGGCGGGACGCCGCTGCGGCTGCTGCAGCGCGAACGGCTGCTGCTGGTGCTCCTGCAGGCTGCTGCCTTGCTGCTGCTGTGCGTGGGCCGTTGCTGCTGCTGCTGCTGCTGCTGCTGTTACGGCTGCTGCTGCTGCTGTGCCTTCAGCGGGGCACGGCGGCAGCAGCAGCAGCAGCAGCAGCAGCACGCGCTCCGGGCTGCTGTTGCCGCCTTTCCGCTGCTTCCGCGGGCGCTGCCCACTGCGCCTCACTGCTGCTGCTGCTGCTCATGCTGCCGCTGCTGCTGCTGCTGCTGCTACGGCTACAGCTGCTGCTGCTGCTGCTGCTGCTGCTGCTGCTGCTTGTCTGCAGAGCTGGTGACTGCTGCGGAGCAGCTAGAAGCACGGGAGTTCGAGCAGTGTGGGCCCCCCCTGGGGGCCCCCGCAAGGGGCGAAGCAGCAGCAGCAGCAGCAGCAGCAGCAGGAGCAGCAGCAGAAAAAGACGATCCCGATCCCGGGGAGGAGTCGATCCCCTTGAGGGTTTTGCTGCCGCACCACGTGCTCGAAGCCGCCAAGTCGCTGCCGCCCCTCTAGGGTTTAGGGTTTAGGGTTTAGGGTTTAGGGTTTAGGGTTTAGGGTTTAGGGTTTAGGGTTTGGAGGCGCAGGGTTTAGGCAGGGCTCTCGGGGCCCAGCTGACCCAGCAGCAGCGCGAGCAGCACTTTGCGCAGCCGCAGCAGCAGCACAGCAGCAGCGCTGCTGCTGCCGCTGCTGCGCTGCTGCGCTGCTGCTGCGGCTGCTGCTGCTGCTGCTGCGCAGGAAGCTGCAAAGGGCTAAGACAAGCTTCGGACCATTTCCTTCTGCGGCACTTTCTGGCTCGCTAGCTAGCTAGCTAGCTAGCTAGTTAGCTAGCTAGCTAGCTAGAACCACTGGCTTAACCTGCTAGCTAGCTAGCTAGCTAGCTAGCTAGCTAGCTAGACCCACTGCCTAGCTGGCTAGCTAGGCCAACTAAGCGGCTTCCCCTGCTGCCCAGCGCGTGACTTGGCTATCCAACTAGCTAGCCAGCTAGCTAGCCAGCTCGCTAGCCAGGCAGCTAGCTAGCCAGCTCGCTAGGCAGCTAGCTAGCCAGCTAGCCAGGCAGCAAGCTAGACAGCTAGCTAGCCGGTTGGCTAGCCGGCTAGCTAGCCAGGCAGCTAGCCAGCCAGTGCCCTGTGCTGGAGAGCTGCTGCTGCTGTAGAAACAGCAGCGCAGCACGTGTCAGGCTAGCTAGCCAAGACTGCTGCAGGGGCCGCCTCAGCCCATGTGCACTTATTTGCTGCGAAGGCGCAGCTGCTTCGCTGCGGCCCAGCCTGTCTGCTTCTACGGCTTGTCTGTCGCTGCTGCTGCTGCAGCAGCAGCAGCTGCTGCTGCTGCTGCTGCGCTGCTGCTGCTGCTGCTGCATGCAGCCCGAAGGCTTCTCGCGCCACAAATTCAAACTCGAAGTCTTCTCCAAATCAAACAGCGCAAATCGCTAGCTAGCCACTGGCCGCGGGGCCGGCAGTTCATTGCTGGCTAGCCACAGCTAGCTGCGCCAGCTAGCCACAGCTAGCTGCGCCAGCTAGCCACAGCTAGCTGGGCTACTTAGCCGCAGCTAGCTGCGCTGTTTAGCCGCAGCTAGCTGCGCTGGCTAGCCATAGCTAGCTGAGCTGCTGAGCCGCAGCTAGCTGAGCCATTGGCCACAGCTAGCTGCGCAATTTAGCTGCAGCTAGCTGAGCTAGCCACAGCTAGCTGAGCTAGCTAGCCACAGCTAGCTGGGCTAGCTAGCCACAGCTAGCTGCAGCATCTGGCCGCGGCGAGGCCGCCGCATGCGCGGCTCTGTTGGCCGCGGGGGCGGGCCCGGCGGCCTGGGGCTCGTCTCCAGGGTTTAGGGTTTAGGGTTTAGGGTTTAGGGTTTAGGGTTTGGGGCTTGGGCGCTCGTGGGCAGCTGCAGCGACACCAAGTCCTCAGGGTTTGCGCCAGCAGCTAAAGCCATGCAGCGGTTGCTGTACTCCGCCCCAGTCTTTGTGTCTTTCACTGGCATATACTCCATTGTGCACACAGTTGCTGCAGCAGCAGCAGCAGCAGCAGCAGCAGCAGCAGCAGCAGCAGCAGCAGCAGCAGCAGCGGGGGGGAGCGGGTGCACGGCGGAAGCGCGGGGTGGCGCCCCCGCGCGGCTCGAGGCTGCGGCCGGGGAGCAGCAGCAGCGCAGCAGCAGCGTAGCAGCAGCAGCAGCGCAGCAGCAGCAGCAGCGCAGCAGCAGCAGCAGCGTAGCAGCAGCGCAGCAGCAGCAATACCCTGGGAAACCCTAAACCCTAAACCCTAAACCCTAAACCCTAAACCCTTACGTCGGGTGTCCTCCGCGGTGGCAGTCTCCCGCAGCAAGTCTTCCACCTCCTCCGTGGGGGTTTTGGGGCGCTCTGGGGGCCCCTGGGGCTCCTCAGCAGCAGCAGCAGCAGCAGCAGCAGCAGCAGCAGCAGAAGCCACTGCAGCGCAGCAGGCGAGGCCCAGCAGCAACAGACGCAGCGACGCCATTCTGCGCAGCAGCAGCAAACGCAGCAGCACAAGCAGCAAACCTGCAGCAGCAATGGCCCCACACCTGCAGCGCTGCTGCTGCTGCGCTGCGCAGCAGCACCTGCTGCCGACGACGCGGGACAGCAGCAGCAGCAGCAGCAGCAGCAGCAGCAGCAGCAGGCACGGCAGGGCGCAGCAGCAACTGAAGCAGAAAGTGCAGCAGAATGGTGCAGCACGGCAAAAGCAGCCGAGCAGCAGCAGCACAGATCCAGCAGCAGCTCGAGCAGCAGCGGTTACACCAGCGAGCTGCAACGACTCCAGCAGCAGCAGCAGCAGCAGCAGCAGCAGCAGCAGCAGCAGCAGCAGCAGCTGACCTCGCAAACCGACTCGAAAACAAATCCACGGGTCAAACAGCGCCCGAAATTGAGTCAATTGAGGCGGAGTGCAGCAGCAGCAGCAGCAGCAGCAGCAGCAGCAGCAGGGACTGTGCGAGGTCGCTTCGAGCCTGGCGCGGGCGGCGGGAGCGAAGGCCAAAGTGCGTCAAAAAGACTTCAAATGAATAAAAAAACAAAAATTGAAAAATTAAATTCATTTAAAAACATTTAAAAGCAGAAAGAGACGCAAACTGGCGTGCTGCTGCAGCGCGCAGCAGCAGCTCCACGCCGCCCACCAGATCGATGGCCTGCGACCACCCGCCGAGGGTTTAGGGTTTAGGGTTTGGTGTGGGGGGTTCCCCGCCGCTTTTTCCGCGGTTTGTTTGCATTAATTCAAATTAAATATATTTAAAAAGTCCCTGCCGCGCAAAAACCGGGAAGAAATAGCGCAAAAAGCCGAAATCGGGGTCGCGCTCGCCCGCAGCTGCAAGCCGCGCTGCTGCTGCTGCTGCTGCTGCTGCTGCTGCTCCAGCGCCAGCTTCGCCGCTTCCACTGAGTTACAACTAAGGATTCTTCACTAAATGAAATTAAAAGGCCAATTAAAGGGCGAAATTCGCAGATCCGAAGAGCAGCAGCACACAAGACCCCCCGTTGCTGCCAGCAGCTGCAGCTGCAGCTGCAGCTGGCAGTCCCGGAGCAGCCACTCTGCTGCTGCGCTGCTGCTTGCTGCTGCGCGTTTCTTGTGCAGCAGATTCTGCCTTTTTTGCGGGTTTTCATTTAGTTGTGTCTTTCTTTGTCTTTCCCGGCGCCCAGGGCTCTCCCTGGAAGTGCAGCTTTGCTGCAGCGCAGCAGCGCGGCTGCGCAGCTGCCGGGGTGTACGTACACCCCAGCAGCAGCAAAAGAGCAGCAAGCCCTGCCTTCGCCGCAGCTCGAGCTGCTGCTACTTCCTCTTAGTGAGATTTCTAGAGTTGTGGGCTCTAGCGCCTCCGCTTGGCCCAACTTAACTGCTGCTGCTGCTGCTGCTGCTGCTGCTGCTGCTGCTGCTGCTGCTGCTGGCCACGGCCGGCAGCAGAAGCAGCTGCTGCTGACGGGGCCACTGCGGGCGCCTTTCGCAGCAAAAGTTGCTGCCAGGGGCTAGTCTGCTGCTGCTGCTGCTGGCTGTGGGCTTTTGCAAGAAGCAGCAAGCAGCAGCAAGCAGCAGCAGGCAGCAGTAAGCAGCAGCAAGCAGCAGCAAGCAGCGGCGGGCAGCAGCGCCAAAAAGGGGCTTCAAAGGCCCTTTAGAGGGCTCTAAATGCTGCTGCTTCCCCGCCTGTTGCTGCTGCGCAGGTCGTGTTTTAGGGTTTAGGGTTTAGGGTTTAGGGTTTAGAGAAACTCCACACAAACCCCTGGGGGCCCCAGCCCGCGCCCCACAGCAAAAATAAAGGCCAAAGCCCAGAACCACTAGGGGCCCCCAGGGGCCCCCAGGGGCCCTAGGGTTTAGTAGGGGCCCCAGGGGCCCCAGGGGCCCCAGGGGCCCCTACTAAACCCTAAACCCTAGTGACCCTGGGGGCCCCCTAGGGGCCCCCAGGGCCCCCCCAGGGGCCCCTGGGGGGCCCCCCAGGGCAGGTCCCAAGAGGTGCAGCGTTTGTGCTGAAGCAGCAGCAGCTGCGGGCAAAGCCATAGCTGTGTGTGAGCAGCAGCAGCAGCAGCAGCAGCAGCAGCAGCAGCAGCAGGGCAGTGCAGCAGCAGGCTCGGAGGTTCGATTCCTTCTAGCAGATAAAATGAAACTTAAATTAAATTAATTTAGAAATTAAATCTCTTAATTGCTTCTTTAAAACATAATTCTGCTGCCCCACAGCTGCTGCAGCAGAAGATTCTGCTGCCCCACAGCTGCTGCAGCACAAGATTCTGCTGCCCCACAGCTGCTGCAGCACAAGATTCTGCTGCCCCACAGCTGCTGCAGCAGAAGATTCTGCTGCCCCACACCTGCTGCAGCAGCGCAGCAGCAAAGAGGGCGCAGGCAGCTTCAAGCCAAGTCTAGGCCCTGGGGAAGCTGGAGCCCGCGCGAGGGTTTAGGGTTTAGGGTTTAGGGTTTAGGGTTTAGGCCGTCACTGCCTGCCAGCCAGAAAGAAGAGCCAGTGTTGGCTCCCCTGCAGCAGCAGCAAAGGGCAGCTTGCTGCTGTCTCTTTTGCTGCACTTCGCCAACCCTAGAAGCAGCAGTGCTGCAGCACTGCAGCAGCAGCAGTGCTGCAGCACTGCAGCAGCAGCAGTGCTGCAGCGGTTGCCTGCAGCAGCAAACTCCAGACGCCCTGCTGCTTCTAGGCAGCAGTTTCTGCAGATGCAGCAGCTTGCTGCAGCAGCAAGGAGCTGCCCGGCGACAAGCAGCTGCAGCAGCCTAGTCTTGCTGCTGCTGCTGCTGCTGCTGCTGCTTAGGAAGCAGCAGGTGCAGCATCGGCTGTGCTGCTGCAGCAGCCCTGAAGCAGCGGCTGCTGCTGGAGGTGCTGCCCGCACAGCAGCAGCAGCAGCACAGCAGCAGCAGCAGCCGGGGCTGTCTCTCCTAATTTCCCACTGGGGAGTCTATTTGCTGCGCCAACTTTGCTGCCAGCAGCTGCAGCAACAGCCACGCCAGCTGCTGCTGCAGCAGCACCTGCTGCAGCAGCACCTGCTGCAGCAGCACCTGCTGCAGCAGCACCTGCTGCAGCATCACCTGCTGCAGCAGCACCTGCTGCAGCAGCACCTGCTGCAGCAGCACCTGCTGCAGCAGCACCTGCTGCGGCAAGGCCAGCAGAAGCTGCTGCTGCATTGCGAACTGGGCGCAGACTAGATGAGTGCCTGCAGCAGAAACGCCGGTGGCGGCAAGATTTTTTCGCCGCCTCTGCTGCTGCAGCTGCTAGTGGCTTCTGTGCTGCTGCTGCTGCTGCTGCTGCTGCTGCTGCTGCTGCTGCTGCTAGGCCTGAAACCAGTGGGAGATGGAAATGCTGCTGGACTCTGCCTGCACATAGTGCCACCAGCCTTTGGGGATAAACAGACAGTCCCCTGGCAGCAGCAGCACATCGCAGCAGCAGCTTTTTTGGAAGAAGAGGGGAAACTGCTGCTGCTGCTGTCTGTACACCTCGGCGGGCAAGCTCGCAGCAGCAACCAGAGAGCTCGGCAGGCTCGACGTGTTGCGAAGAAGGCCCTGCAGCAGCAGCAGCAGCAGCAGCAGCAGAGACGCAGCAGCAACTGCTGCAGAGACGCAGGCATCAGCAGCACACGGGGGAGCCGCAGCAGCCGCAGAAGCAGCAGCAGCAGCAGCTGCTGCTGCCGCTGTAGCCCCTGCATGCACAGGCGAAGCCCTGTGGTAGCTTGGGGCGTTCACGCCCTTAGCAGCAGCAGCAGCAGCAGCAGCAGCAGCACATTCAGCAGCAGCAGCAGCAGCACACCCAGCAGAAGCAGCACACCCAGCAGCAGCGCACCCAGCACCAGCACTAGCCCCAGCTCATCCCGCCGCAGCAGCAGCACACCCAGCAGCAGCACACCCAGCAGCAGCAGCAGCAGCAGCAGCAGCAGCAGCAGCAGACCTTCTGGAAAGGGTACATGGCCTCTGTCTGCGAGGGGGGGTAGAGCTGCATGCGTTTGCTGCCAACTATTTGCACAAACAAATTCTCGCTGCTGTCGGTGTGCAGCGGAGACACAGTGCCCCGGGGGCCTATCCACACCAGCCGCGTGATATCAGTTGCTGCGCCTGCAGCAGCAGCAGCAGCAGCAGCAGCAGCAGCAGCAGCAGCAGCAGCAGCGGCAGCAGCGTGCGCAGGGGAGCGCTGCAGCTTCAGTGGCAGCAACCGGACGCGCCCCACGCAGAGGCCAGCGCAGCAGCACAGAGTGAACTACCTACACCAAAAGAGCAGCAGCAGCAGCAGCAGCAGCAGCAGCAGCAGCAGCAGCAGGACACACAGGCTACAGCAAGGTCTGGGGGAGGGGCCTCCTTAGCAAGAAACGGCAGCTGCTCCAGCAGCGCGTGCTGAGCCAAGTAGCCCACGGGGCCCCCCGGGGGGCCCCCTGACCTTCCTGCAGCAAGACCCATGGGGGCCCCACACAGCAGCAGCAGCAGCAGCAGCAGCAGCACTGCTGTCAGCCGCCGCAGCGCAGCCGCAGCAATAGCTGCAGCTTAGAAGCAAAGCATCGGCTGCCGCAGCAAAGGCAGAGTCAGCAGCAACGGCAGCAGCAGCAGCAGCACTGCTAGACAGTGCGTCAGCCGCAACGGCAGCACAGCAGCAGCAGCAGCAGCAGCAGCAGCAGCAGCAGCAGGACCAGCAGCAGCAGCAGGGACTTACTGGCAGGTTTGATAAATTCGGAATAGAAGTCCTCAAAGAGCATTAGGCGCTGCGTCCAGCCCTCCTCCGCATAAGAGCTGCCTGCAGCAGCAACAGCAGCAGCAGCAGCAACAGCAGCAGCAGCAGCAACAGCAGCAGCAGTGGCCGTTGTGTTGAAGCCCCAAGACCAGCAGCAAGCCAGCACAATCGGCACATACACTGCAGGCAGCAGCAGCAATGGACACTACGCCCTGCTGCAGCTCCTGCTGCAGCTCCTGCTGCAGCAGGGCGTGCTGCAGCAGCCGCTGCTGCTGCAGCTGCTGCTGCAGCAGCTGCTGCAGCAGCAAAAGTGTTTGCTGCTCCCACCGATTTCTACAGGGACAAGTCTGTGGCCCATTTGCCTCCTCAGAAGTCCCCAATTAGCCCACAGCTTAATGCAGGGCAGCGCAGCAGCTCCGCCTGAGTGGCAGCAGCAAGCCGCGTAAACCCTAAACCCTAAACCCTAAACCCTAAACCCTAAACCCTAGCGAAACCCTAAACCCTAAACCCTAAACCCGCTGCTGCAGCGGCTCGCCCTCACCCCGGATTAGCAGCGGCTGCTGCTGCTGCAGATAATTCGCCAAAAACTCCTCCAAGCCGATGGCTGCGCAAACCCCACACAAGCTGGCCCGCCCCACTCAGCAAGGGTTTAGGGTTTAGGGTTTAGGGTTTAGGGTTTAGGGTTTAGGGTTTAGCCGCCGTCGAATCTAAGGCTTTAGGCTCTAGGGTTTAAGGGCCAAAGCACCTGTCCTTTCCTCCACTGGTGCCCTCTGCCGCAAAACAGGTACCAGGGGCCCCAGGGGCCCCGGGGGCCCCTGGGGCCCCGGGGGCCCCAGGGGCCCCGGGGGCCCCTGGGGCCCCGGGGGCCCCTGGGGCCCCTGGGGCCCTGGGGGCTTGGGGGGCCCC